CCACCAAGTCATGTCTAAAGGTGGGGTTCTCCCCTCACCTCACTTCTAAAGGAAAAGATGTCAAAAGAACTCCTCAGAGAGCCTAAGGCCTAATGTGTGGTTCTTGTGCACACACCTGACTCCTGCCTGCAAAATCTGAAAGGCGAGTGTATTCGTCTGTTCCCATGCTGCTAACAAAGACATAACCAAGACTGGGTAATTTATAATGGAAAGACATTTAATGGACTCACAGTTCAGCATGGCTGAGGAGGTCTCATAATCATGGCATAAGGCAAAGGAGAAGCAAAGGCACATCTTACATGGCAGCAGGCAAGGCAGCTTAGGCAGGGAACTCCCCTTTATAAAACCATCAGCTCTCATGAGACTGATTCACTACCATGAGAACAGTAGGTGGGAAACTGCCCCCATGATTCAATTATCTCCATTTGGCCCCGCCCTTGACATGTGGGGATTATTACAATTCAAGGTGAGATTTGAGTGGGGACACAGAGCCAAACCATATCAGCAAGACATGGGCTTACTGGCCAGTTTGATGGCAGAGTGAAAGAGAATTCATGACACTGAGGGTGAGTCTCTGGGCTATGAGAATAAAGATGTTTTTGCCCTGTCGAGAGCCAAAAACAGAGATCACCAGTGTCAGAGAAGGAGGTGTAAAATCTCCAGAGAATCCCCCAAAAATGTCCTTCAGAGCAAGAGTCAGGTTTAAGCATCTGCCAAGTCCCAAGAGTGTCAATTCTGTGTATCTTGAGGTATCCTTTAAGGGAGACATTTCCTGCTCTCCTCATCTTCTCTCCCTCCCTGCACCCACTTGGGAGGGGTCAGAACTAACTAGGGTGGCACATAGTTTACATACAGAAAGTCTTCTGAAAGGGAAATGGTGTGATGGTTCTTTTCATGTGTCAACTTGGCCAGGTTCTGGTGCCCAGCTGTGTGTCCAACACTAGATGTTACTGTGAATGCATTTTGTTCGTGTGATTAACACTTACAATCAGTTGACTTTAACGAGAACACTCACTGACCCAAAGGGGAACTATTAATAACTAGACCCAGGCAAAAGCAACTGAGACTACCCTGAGCTAACCAGTTAACCAGTTAGAACCCAAGAGTTAGTGGGATGTGGAAGTCAGTGGACTGTGGAGCATGGCATTGGTGGCATGTGGAAGTAGGGTTAGAAGTGCTGGGTGAGGAGAGAGGAGAGGCTGACTGCACTCTCTTTTCTGGACTGTGGCCTCCTACCTGGAATAAGCCTGAACTGAGAGAAAGAAAGAATTTATTACTCTAGAGTTTCAACTATAACATGGGACAAGACGTACTAATTACCATGCTAAGACTGTGTTGTGTGACTTCACGTGATGGGAGACTATTCTGTGTGGCTTGAAGTGACTGATGTGTGTGCTCCTCTGGGGTGGACAGAAAAGTCATAGGGCATGTCTGTGTTTCATTTGGAGAAAGAGGAAAAATTAGTTTCACAGAGATAGAAAAGTAGTTGGAGACAAAATACAGCTATTATCTGACTCCACTCCATGGTTATATATGGATAGACATCCTTCTTCTTGATCGGAGGCCTGCTTGAGTTACAACCAGCTACCAGTGTCTGCAGCATGGAGGACCAGCCCTGGGCCTGGGGCAAGGGCCTCAGTTGTTCATAGGGACAGCTCTGATGGGCCCATAAACTGGCATGAGCTCAATATTTTGGCACAGAGCACCTCTTTCTACCTCTAGTCACATTTTAGTTAACATGACTAGCCCACCAGAGCATATGGTAACTATGAAAGCTGTTTAACACGATCCATAAATAGTTTCCACATTAAGTACCTATTTACTGAGCATCTACCCTGTGCCTAATATTGCTGGATAGAAGTATAGATATAGAACCTCTGATGCCAGGTACGGTGGTTCATGCCTGTAATCCCAGCACTTTGGGAGGTCGAGGCGGGCAGATCACCTGAGGTCAGGAGTCCGAGACCAGCCTGCCAACATGGCAAAACCCTGTCCCCACTAAAAATACAAAAATTAGCCTGGCATGGTGGCAGGCACCTGTAATCCCAGCTACTCAGGAGGCTGAGGCAGGAGAATCACTTAAACCCAGGAGGCAGAGGTTGCAATGAGCAGAGATCACGCCATTGCACTCCAACCTGGACAACAAGAACAAAACTCCATCTCAAAAAAATAAATTAATTAATAAAATAAAATAGATATAGAACCGCTAGCTTCAGGAAATTTATGATCACAGGTAAGTTTTGGTATACCAATCTTCTTGCATTCTGTTTTAATATTGTTATGTATCTATTCTGAGTCAACCTAGCTTTTAAATTCTGAGAGCTCTGAATTTGATTTACTTGTTTTTCCAAACTTACCCCTGTGAGTTGTGCTTCTGGTGATAAAAATCAAAGCAAAAATTAGTTTTGTAGATTGAATGAGAGACTCAAAACTAAAGATTCTGACCTTTAGACTGGGAAGAATTTTTCTCTTACTGGAAAATTAAAGTGTATGCAAAACCCTTTTATTGTGCATACAACACACAGAGACACATACACACATACGTATTATTTTTTAGATTTTTTAGATTCCATTCACCTGATCTTGTTTTTTTTTTAATTTGTATTTTTTAATGCTGAAAGAGGGCCCATGGATTAAAATAAATAGCTCTTCCTGAGATACAGGAGGAGCACAGAAGGCATGCTCTTCTGAAAAGCAGAAGGCCGATTCTTTGAAAACACTTAACTGCACAAGAGATAGTTCATGAAATGGCTTCAGATTTTCTCTCAGGAAGTGAGAGTTATAAAGTCTGGTGGTCAGAACAAGATCCATTCCCTCATGACAAGAAGCGACCATGCGGCCAAAGCTTTATTCTGAAGTGCAAAGTCCAGGTGTTGGTCAATAACGAAAGGATCAGAGCAGATGGGGTGGTCCCCAAGAATTGATAAAAGATCAGAATGAGACCTTGTGTGGCTAAGTTTGGCAGAAGGGTCATTGTCATAAGTGTGGTGAAGACTCTTAGCACTCACTGACTTATTTTCATGAAAAAATGATCTGCTGATGCACCTAGCTCCCAGGCCACCTGCCACCTGCCATTTCCACGAAGCTATACTTAGTTCTCGTTTTTAGTCAAAGCCAGCTTGTCACTTAAGCCTCACTCTGCTCCAGTATTTCCAGAACTAAATCAGAAACCATTCAAAAAGATCCATCTCATAAAGGAGATGGGGGCGGGGGGAGTGCCATTATTTTATCTAAGACCAAATGTATTTCTTCACTCCCAGTCTGGTAGTAGATTGTTGTCCATAAAAACAAGCAAGGTTTCTGGAACAAATCTTGACTTGTTTGCTGTGAAGAGCCATGACACCTGCCTCATTTAAACTAATTTATCCTTAAGCAGCTCTAATGCCTGGAGCAGCCTCCCTTCCCCATCACCGTATCTCATGAGAGTTGCCCAGCCTGGATAAGGCTTACTTCCCTTGGAATTCGGTTAATTCACCTTTTCCCCTCAAGGATACACATGGTTTCCACTTCACAGAGTAACCCTGGCACATCACTGGCCCACTCCTGCTTCGCACCACCAGAATCCCCTGAACTTTGTCAGAGATGATACAGTTGTAATTAAACCTGAATTCTAGTCTCTCCTTGTGACAACTCAGCGGACAATTAATGATGATAAAAGAGCCTGCCAGCTGCTGCCTGACACACCAATGTGAGCTTCCAACTCCGAGGAAGATGGAGGGTGAAGGGCAGGTCCCTCTGGCTCCATTTCAATCTGTCTTTTATCTCACACTAGCTAAAAAGTAACACTTACTTTGGGGAAATTTAGATTCTTTCTTCTCCTCTCTTAAAAGCACCAAACAGACAGTCAGGGGTAATGCAAGGTCTATGTAATAAATACGAACGCTTCCGGGAAGAGTAATTGAAGCTTCATCACCAGGGACCACAGAGTCAGGCCTAAAGCCAGAGGAGCAGGCTGTGCTCCCAATCCTGACCTCAAGCAGGGGATATGCCCACCGTCTCTTTGCCACAGGGACCCATCGGTTGGTAGGGAGGGGCTTCATAAGGGAGACACTTAATGGATTTTTCCACAACAATGCTGTTCACTCCAAACTGACTTCGATCACATTTGTCCTTTTCTCTCTAAATTCTAGGTTGAGCCACGACTACAGTCCAGTGCAATAAAATGCTTGGAGGGAGTCCAAGGCTTGAGGGAGACATGGGCTGTGGAGGGATACAGCTGGAGAGAAAAGAATCAAAACAATGCAGACGAGAAGGAGTTAGAGGAACCTGTTCAATGCTCACACTTCAGAAGCTCGTGTAGAGGCTCCGTGGCAACAGTACTGCCAGCTTCCTGTGTGGCTTTCCGTTTATTAGCTTGGTGTTTGGGGGGTGTGAGAATCCATTTAGATAATTCCCACAAGAAAAAAGTGCAAATGACTCATAAACATATGAAATAAGTGTTCAACAACACTTGTAATCAAAGAAATGCAAATATAAAACAACAAGATAGCATTTTCACCTATCAAATTAACAAAGATTAAAAGGAATTCTAATACCCCACAGAATGGTGAGATGGCCCATGTCACACAGCCAGCATGTTAATTGGGACAACCTTTCTCCTGGCAATAGGTAGCAAAAATCTTAAAAGTATGCATACTCCTTGACCTAGTCGTTCCCCTTCTAGGGATCTACCCCAAGGACAGCAATAGCAATTTCAGCAAAGACTTAGGCGCAAAGGTTTCATTGGGATATTATTTACAACAAGAAAAAGTACAAAAATAAAATATGACTCATAAATTAAATAGTATAAATATAAAACATATAAATATAAAAATAGATTATAACACATCCTCATCAATTAATAATATGCAGCAAATTCATGTATTTTAAGAGTACATATGAAGTGAAGAAATCAATATTGTATATATATATTAGGATCTCAATTTTTTAAATTGAGAGAGGGAGACAATACATCAAAATATTAACAGAGACTATTTCTATATAAGTGATTTCAAGGGATTTTTTTAATATTTTTTGAAATTCTCCACAATGAACATATGGTAATCAGAAAATGCAAGCCATATTTTAAAGCATGTAAATAAAGGACTAATAGTATATTTGTCATGGTGGGCTATATAACAATCTTCGAAGCTTGGAGGCTTAAAACAATAAAGGTTTATTTCTCACTCATATTGGAAGTCAGCTAGGGACTCATCCCTACATCACTTTACTCAGGAACAAAAACTAATAGAGCCTCCATCACCAATCACCATGGCAGACAGAACGAAATGTAGCAAATCATACACTGGCTCCTAATGACTCGTCCAGAGGTGATACAGGCTATTTTCATCTACATTTCACTGGCCACAGCCAGTCAGATGACCCATCTTATGTAATGCGAACAGGGAAGTTCAACCCTACAATGTGCCTAGAGGAAAGAAAACAAGAAAAAAATTGTGAATAGAACCAATGTTACTACCAAAAAAGCATTGATTATCTAAATGTCAAACTGAAGGTCTTTCCTCTGTGCTTTGTAAGATGTGGCATTCATATGACCCTAAACAATTTGATTCTGCTTCTCAATTCACAGTTTCAAACCCAAGATATTCAGGAGATGCCATTAATGCCGGCAAGAGGCTACTTTAAAAGGCAAAAGGGTGTGCACATACCACAGCCACATTAAAGAAATATACTTACTTTTCAGAGTCCTGGGACTATTCAGAGAAATTCCAGCATTTCTTAGTCCCATTCTAAACATACAAAAATCCAAATAAGCAATGTTGGAAATTTCTCCCACCTTTTCCCAATGTTGGAGAACAAGGCCCAATCTATACAAGGTCCTCAAACCACCTGCTAGGAACACTTTTCTAGTCAGTATAATCTGTTTTCTTTTTAATTCTGTACTCTGTATATAAAAGATTAGAATACACCAATCCCAAAATATGACTATTAGTGTTTAAAAAATAACATCGTAATCCTCTGCACATTCAAACAATTCATCGTGCTTACTCAAGTAAATACCATTTTAAAGTATTTTTGTATTAATAAAAAAACTAATATGGCTTTATGAATGACAAAAATAGAAGGCAACATTGGGCATTAAATCAATTCACTTTTCTCCGTTAAAATATATCTTGAACAGTGTTAAAAATAAAAGCTAATTACATGGAGTGTTGCTTTGTAGCTTGCACTGAAAGATCTCTCTAAGGGATACAGGTAATTATAGACAATCTGACCCAAGACAGAACTCTCAGGATTATCACTGAATATTTTTCATCATCCACTATATCTAATTGGTCATCAAATCTTATTGATTCTAAACTTCCTAAATACCCATTTAATTTGATTCTTCCCTCCATTCCTAGTTGCTATGTTCAGGGCTTCATCATCTGTCACTGAGGCTATTGCAATCAGCTATTCTCTTGTCTTATTCCATCGGACTCCCCTCTCCAAGCCACTTTCCATACTGCCACCAAAATATGTAAATCCTGTTACTTCTCTTAAAATCCATCTGTGAACAGAAAACCAAAAATCGCATGTTCTCACTCATAAGTGGGAGTTGAACAATGAGAACACATGGACACAGGGAGGGGAACATCATACACCAGGGGGCCTGTTGGGGGGTGGAGGGCTAGGGGAGGGATAGCATTAGGAGAAACACCTACCACAACAGGCAATATCACCCCTCTCTTCAAAACCCTGCAATGGCTTCCCCTTTTTACTCAGATGAAATCCAGAGTTCATACCTACAACCCCAAATGATTGCTCTTCTATGACTTCTCCACCTACGTCTCCCATCTTCACCTCCCTCCCTTCCTGGGCTGAAAATACACTGGGCCTCGTGCTGTTCCTCTAAACATGGAACATTCACAGCTCCTTCTTTCCTGATTTCTCTTTAGTCAGAGATCCACCCACCTCACTCCTTCTCTTCTTTCAGGTCTTTACTCAAATGCAACCTTTTGGTGAGAACTTCCTTGACCTCTTATTCAAAATTCCCATACTCCACTCCCCAGCACTTCCAATAAAAACTTTCTGACTTCTTTCCTCCATGGCACTTAATGCCCCTCTGTAAAATACTGCCCAGTTCAAGTTCTTACTTTGTTTATGGCCTGTGTCTCACAGTAGAATGTAAGCTCCAGGAGGGCAGGAACAATGACCTATGCTGTTCACTGCCATCTTTCAGTGTTAAGAACAATGTATGGCAAATAGTAGACATTTAAAATATACTTGTTAAATAATAGGATGAGTAAATAATGAATGAATAGAAAAGAGTAAATCCCATTTCCCAAAATAATTCTAGCACAGATTCCTTTTTGTGGGACATTTCACAGGAACAGTTCTGAACAAGTGTTCCCACCCTTTCTGTCCTCCCTGTCTGTTAAAGAGGGCCGTGACTTTGCCCACTTGGCCTTTTCTCTCTCCTGGTCTCTGGGAAGCATTCTTCCTTTGACAGTTATTGAGATCTATTAATGCAGATTGAGGACAATGGGCCTATCTTACCTTATAGATACTTACAAATAAAAGATGAAAAATATTTCACTAGACCTTTCTTAACGTAGAGGTTTTCACCAAATCCACTTTATTAGAAAAGTATTCACTAAATATTAGCTATGTTCCAGATAATACGCTAATCCCCTGGGGCTAAAATGACTAATAGGACACAGTATTTGACCTCTATGGAAACAGACATATAACCAAATACTTGGAGAATTGCAGTAAGCAGTAGGACAGACATATGATGTAGTGTTATGGAGATTCAGAAGATGTTTTTATAGTCTAAAAAAGCAAATAAATGCTTTCCAAAAAAAAGTGGCCTTTGAGCTAAATCTTAAAGAATAAGTAGAAACTTTAGATTAAAAACTAGACCATTCCAATTAGAGGGAAAGGCAGTGCAAAGGCATGGAAGTGTGAGAAGAAACTAATAACAGGTTGGATCAGTTGGAGGAAGGTGTAAGAGTTCTGGGAGAGGAGACAGAGATAGTAGTCAGGGCCCAGGTCAAGGAAGGCCCATAAACCCCACTCTAGACCTTGCTCAATGATAGATAAAGCTTTTCTTTGTTCAGAGACTCAGTGGAGGAGTGAATTCCTCAAGAGAGGTTGCAATGGAGCAAGAACTCTAGGACAGGCGAGAGAGTGACATTACTTGTATAAATGGCTCTTTAGCACCCACTGTCCAAGGAAGGTGGGCCGTCCTATAGGCATATTCAGGCTCAAATAGTACTCCTATGTATGGCATATCCGTCTGTTGTGTTTATTAAGTGTTTATTAATGAAAGAGGCCTTGCTGGATGCTCTGTCAGTGTATCACTCCTGATTACTCTGCTCTCCTACTGTGCTGCAAGTAAAGTCACCTACCGTGGTTCTAGGATTGCTCAGAGTATGAGCAGGAGAGGAAGATGTCAATGAGGCTCCGGCTGCATCCCTTTCTGTACAACCCTTCCAGACCCCTCCATTCTAATTATATCACCTTCTCCAAATCATGCATACCCCACATATGCAGTGTCTACCATATGCCAGGCACTGAGCTAATGACTGGTCCAGTAGTAAAGTCCTAATTCTCCTTGGCCATGCCTCTGCCCATATAGCACTTAAAATTCCTTGGAATTGCAGAACTCCATGAAGTCAGATTCCTTTCTATTTATTTGTATAAAAGTCTGTCTCCTGTACCAGGTCATGAGGTTCTTGAAATCACAAACCTTGTTTTAGACATCTCTGCATCTATCGAGTTCCTTGCACAATATCTGGCACATCATAGGTGTTTGACAAATGTTTGCTGAGTTTTAAATAATTGTGCAAGAATGTTCAACCAGAGGAACCATTGAGAAATGACTTCACTGCAACCCTTCAATGTTATATGTGAGCCTGCTACCTGAGCTGGACTGTGATTTCAAAATGGAGCACTGAATCCAAAGGAAATTAGGATTCCCAGATTTCCAGTAGAGGGCAGTACCATTATAATATCAAGATATAATCTGATGTCTAATCACCATTCTGTGATAGTAGAAAATGTGCCCCAGCCCAATAGACAGAAGGAAAACTGCAAAGAAAGCATTTATGACTATAAACAATTTTTCTTTATTCCTCATCTGGGTCCTGAGGCCTGTGATTTGGCTCCAATTTTTCATTTGTGGTTGTTTGGTTCAGATAATAAAACTGTTCCTTTAAAATAATGGTGACTATATTGAATCTAAAAATAAATTTCAAAAGATCAAAGTCCCTGAGTGGGAACAATTATTGCAAAAAGACCAGCCAAGCTCAAAGCAACTGTTAAGGGATCCTGGCCCAAGCAAGAGGAGCCTGGCCTCCTTGGCTGATCTGGAATCACATGGGCAGGCTGACAAACCAAAATTGAGAAACTTCTAAAATATGGAAAACACACATGGCAATATGAATTACCCTATGAAAATTGCTCTTATTTGATTGTTATTTGTCACTAACGACTTGCAGTATCGTTAAGACACTTCACAAAATGGACAGAAAATGAGCATTCAGTGTGTGAGGAAAAAAAACCAGAAGGAAGAGCTCCTTGTGAATTTGCAAGAGAAATAACACTAGGGTTCAGTTTTGCTGTTAGATATAATAAGCTCCAGTAAGGAAGCAAATGAGAGGTAAGCCAAGATGATGTGGCTTTATTTCAATACTCTCTTTGTTTGTTCCCTAATGCATTCAGAGAAAAAAAGTGTCAAAATCATTCAGTGAATTCCAAGTACAATACTTACCGGGAGTTGCAGCTGTTTAAGAAATGCCTTCCTCAAGATCCAGGCCTGGACAATTCACAAACACAATGTTTATTTATTTTTCAAGAAGCCTTCTGTGTAAAGACAATTCTCAGGAATCGCAGTACTGATATGCATAGATTTTCCTCTCACTGAATATCTCAATATTTGTATTGTTTAAGGGATACATTCCAACCAGTAATTATTTGATCAAAAATTTTAAGTATAATAAATTTTCCCATCATTAATTTATTCAATAAGCATTTCTTGAGCATGTACTATGTACCAGACACTCTACTAAATGATACAGAAATGTCAGTTTCTGTACTCAAAAAGCGCAATCTGGTGGAAGAGTGATAGGGAAATGGACAGCTGAACAAGGAAAGTTCTATGATGCTGTAGCACAGAGGACTGGCACTGAATCCAGCCTGGTGGGCAAGGGCTGGGGTCAGAAAGACTTTCTGGAGAGAGCTGACAGTGAGTAGTAAAGGAAGAGGCATCCCTTAGCCAGGTGAATTTGCTAGAACCTGTGAAAAAACCAAGATACTTATTGTCATCTGCTTACCAACAACAAAAATAGAAACTAATATTGATCAAGCACTTACTCTATGCCAGGCATTGAGCTAAGTACTTGGAACTTTAGTTCTTGTTGAAGAGACATTGTTAATAATATGAGAACATCAGTTATCAACATATGGTTGTGGTAGAAAAAATCATCCCACTCCACCCCACCCCCAGCCAAAGATGTTCACATTCTTATCCCCTGGAACTTGTGAAGGTGTTACCTTGGCACGATATGGTTACGTGGCTTTGCAGATGAAATTCAGGTTAGAAAACTTAAAATAGAGCCCTGGATTATCCACATGAACACAACGTAATCATGGGGCCCTTAAAGGGGTAGAGGAGATGAAGAGTCAGCTGCAGCAGAAGAGGGAAACAAAGGAGACATTCCAGGAATGAGGACAAGACCCACCATTGCTGGCTTTGAAGAAGGGTGAAGAGACCACAAGCCAAGCAGTGTGGGTGGTCTCTATAAACAGAAAACAATCACCAGCCACCAGCTGGTAGACCTCAATTCTACAATCACATGGAACTCAACTCTACCAATGCCTTGAATAAGTCTGAAAGTAGATAATCCCCTGGACCTGCCAACACCTTGATTTCAACTTTGTGAGACCTGGCCAGAGAAACCAGCCAAGCCCACTGGACTTCTGACCTATAAATACATGATGATAAATTTGTATTGTTTTAAGTGGCTAAGTGTGTGATAGTTTATGGCAATAACAGAAAACTAATACGATGGCACTCTCTGATTAAGTGACAACTAAAATTAGCGGCAAAAACGTTACCACTGCACCTACTATGTGCCAAGAACTTTCCAAATATTATTCCCTTTGACTCTCATAATCATGCAAGGCTGGTATTATTCTCCCCATTTTACAGATGATAAAACAAATGACAAAAAAATCAAAGAGATTTATAGATAACTAAAGTCACAGCAAGGCAAGTAGAATTGGAATTTAAGCTCAGGTCTATCAGATGCCAGCACTCCTGTTCCTGCCATGTTGCTCCAGGGTAATTGCTCTTTACATGTGTAAATTCTGGGTCCGAAGCACTTCTCTGTGCATTAACTTAATTGAACCTTGCAATAGTAGGTGAGGCAAACAGGGAAGAAATCATTACAATCCTTCTTACAAATGGGATACCCAATCTCAACATAAATTATGAGCTGCCTGTGGGCCAGGGCAAGCACACAGGCCTTCCAACTCCCAACCTGCTTTGCTCTACCACCTTAGCAGTTCAGAGAGTGTCCGTGAAGTACCCACCCCACTGTGAGCTCTGTACAGTCAAGTTCGCCTTGAACACGTGGCCTGTTTCCACAAAGCAATGGGAGCAGGCCAGTGTTACAAAAAAATAAATAAAAAAAAAGATGATGGCTCCCTGGGTGGAAAGTCAATACTTTAAGTGAAAATAAAACCTATAGCTATGCTGCAAGAGATGTATGAGAGTTATTTGCTCCACTTAGGATAATTATCAATGAATTTAGTATATGACTTTGGTACAGAAAGCCACGTCTTCAGTGGCCTCCATACCTGTGCTAGAGACCAGCTGTGATGCTTTAAGTGCCTCATTTGTACTCAGTTATTTAATGTACAAGTTCCTAGAGGCATTTTTCACCTAGGGCTTATTTTTTTTAATGAAATCTAATTTCTGAGAAGACCTCAGAAAAATCTGCTTTATATACAGCACAATCCAATTCACCAGAAGTCTTTCTCAAATGCCTCTCTGGGCCATTGCTAGGCACTGGCAATGCAGCACTAAAAAAGACAACACAGGTCCCTGCCTTCATGGGGCTTACACTCTAGTGGTAAGCAAATGAATATGATAACTGCGTTTGAAATATACCAAGAAGGCAACAAACAGCACCTGAAATAGAGTGGGAAGTGCCTATTTTAAGGGTTCCTGGGGACAGAGGTTCTGATCATGGGGATTAGGAAGTTTGGCACAATGAGGCTTCTGCTTTGCCTAACTCAGACCGCTTTCACGCCTTATCATCCATGTAAGCTGGTCCCTGTCAGTGCCACGTTCTTAACCTATGGACAGATCCTCAATGGGGAGAGCCTGGTGTTTCAGGGAGGTAGGGGAAGACAGTGTAAGTAATTCGGTTCCTACAAAATACACCTGATCTGCCCCTCTGCCCCTTCCTATGTGCATTGGGACTGTTTACTTTACCTCTCTGTGGCTTAGCTTCTTCATAGGATTGTGTTGACACATTAAATTACTAAATGGTGTTTAGCACATAATAAGTGATCAATAAACATGAATAGTTCCTGAAACATAGTTATGACTTCATATTAGCTTTCTTGAGGATGCGTCTGCCCTGAAAAAAAAATGTGTCTATTCCCTTTACTAGGTCTGCACTGTACATATACATCTCTATCATTACTGCCCCATCAAATAATGCATACTGTTATGGGTTGAACAATGTGTGTCCCCCAAAAATGATATAACCCCCAGTACCTCAGAATGTGGCTTTATTTGGAAATAGGATCAGTACAGATGTAATTCAGTAAGTTAAGGTCAGAAGTAGGCTGGGTTCCTAATCTGATATGACTGGTGTCCTTATAAAAAAGTGGGAATTTAGACACAGACAAAGAAATGCATAGAGGGCAGCTGATGTGAAGAGACACAGGGAGAAGATGGTCATCAACAAGCCCAGGAGAGGAACCTGAAACAGATTTTTATCTTTTTTTTATACAGTGGATTATATTATTAATTTATTCTATGCTTTCATTTTATATAAATAATTTCAACTTCTTAGATTCAGGGAGTACGTGTACAGGTTTGTTACATGCATATACTGTGTGACACCGAGGATAACCAATAGGCAGTTTTTCAACCCTTGTCCTTGTCCTGCTCCTCCCTCCTCCCTCCCTCTAGTAGTCCCCAGTGTCTGTTGCCATCTTTATGTCCATATGCACCCATTGTTTAGCTCCCACTTATTAATGAGAACATGCCGTACTTGGTTTTCTGTTCCTGCATTAATTTGCTTAGGATAATGGTCTCCAGCTGCATCTATGTTGCTGCAAAGAACAGGATTTCACTTTTTTATGGCTGCATAGTATTCTGTGGGGTATATGTACCACATTTTCTTTATCCAATCCCCCACTGATAGGCATCTAGGTTGATTCCATGTCTTTGCTCTTGTGAATAGTGCTGTGATTAACATATGTTGTTTTTGGTAGAACATAGGTACATCGATATGTTCTATATCATATGTTCATGTGTCTTTTTGGTAGAACAATTTATTTTCTTTGGGTTATATACCCAGCAATGGGATTTCTGGATTGAATGGTAGTTCTATTTTAAGTCCTTTGAGTAATCTCCAAACTGATTTCCATGGTGGTTAGCTCTAATTTATATTTCCATCAACAGTGTATAAGCATTCCCTTTTCTCCAGAGCCTTGTCAGCATCTGTTTGTTTTGTTTTGTTTTGTTTTTACTTTTTAATACTAGTCATCTGACTGATGTGAGATGGTATCTCATTGTGGTTTTGATTTGCATTTCCCTAATGATTAGTGATGCTGAGCATTTTTTTAAGTTTGTTGGCCGCTTGTATGTCTTCTTTTGAGACATGTCTGTTCATGTCTTTTGCCCACTTTTTAATGGGGTTGTTTTTTGCTTGTTGCATTAAGTTCCTTATAGATTCTGGATATTAGACCTTTGTCAGATGCATAGTTTGCAAGTATTTTCTCCCTTTCTATAGGTTGTCTGTTTACTCTGCTGATAATTTATTTTGCTATGCAGCTCTTTAGTTTAACTAGTCTGCATTTGTCAATTGTTTTTGTTGCAATCACTGTTGAAGACTTAGTCATAAATTCTTTCCTAAGACTAATGTCCAGAATGGTATTTCCTAGGTTTTCTTCTAGGATTATTATAGTTTGAGGTCTTACATTTAAATCTTTAATCCATCTTGAGTGAATTTTTATAAATGGTGAAAGGTAGTGTTCCAGTCTGAAACAGATTCTTCCTCACAGACCTTAGAAGGAAGGAACCCTGTGGATACCTTGATTTTGGCTGACAATGAGAATCATCCAAATATGGGACTGGCTATCTATCTGTAATCAACATTCAGACAAGTGTTTGCCACTATGGTGAAGAGGAAGTCCTTGGAGTCCCCATTGGCAGGAGGTACAGCCATACTCAGAAGACCTACTGGCACCCATATCTGTGGCTTCTGTGTCTGGGGGCAGGTGCTCTCATCATACTGGACTAGGGTCAGACTCACTCTGTGGTGAGGGAAGCTGGCAAGAATAAGTAGTGTTCCCATAGGTGAATGGATCTGGGTAGCCAATGGGGTGTGCAAAGAGAATCTCAGCATAGCAACATGGAAGGCCAAGGGGATGTGGCTCAGGACCTCAGGCACAGGCTTTCTGAAGGTACACTGACACCTGGGAAATGATGTGAGAGTTCAGGGATCAGCATAACACAAGGTTCCCCATCTTAAGCCCATCCAATAGGGAGAGGAGGAATCCGCGGCCTCTCCCTGAAAAGGAATGGAGATGAGGGCTAGGCCGGCAGAGGAGCCAGGGCCATCCACTAGAGAGGGGTCTGGGGCCAATAGAAGCAGAAGGATGAGAAAGGAGGCCTCAACCCAGGGTGGGTGGATGAGCAAGAGTTAAGGTGATAATTCTACAGAGGAAAAGAAGAAGGGAGAAAAAAGGATTTTCATAATTGAGCTATTCTAATTGACTGCTGACTCCACACTGTTCAGATCCACCAGGTAATTGCTCAAGTCTCCATTTCATTTCATCTGTGTAGCTGTAGCTATAGCAGTTAGTTGGGGGTGGGGAGGGAAGGTTTAAGAAGTGATTAGGGGAAATCACTCCTTGCAGGCCTTAGGTTATTCTTGTTAAAAATGATGCCAGGAAAATCATAATTAAAATGGGAACATGGTGAATAACAAGAGCCCCTTTCCTTGAATGTGAAATAAATTTTAACAGCTACCTTAGCTAAAGAACTCAACACATTCGACCTTCCAATAAGGGTTAGCAGAGTTTTCTATCAGAGAGAAATAGAAACTATAAATCAAATGTTTCATATCTAAAGTCCAAGCCAGCTCCCGTGAGTAAAATTCCACTCTCCAACAGTCTTGTGTTTTTTCACTGACTATCAGGCTTCCTTGACTCTGGAACTATATGGATACTGTTTCTTCATCTTAAATCTATGAAACTACCTTCAAGAGCTATAGTCTTGACTACTCATGACATACTATCCAAGATAAAGAAGCTGGTCAATAATAAATGTGCCTGTGTGTGAGATTCTATCAGGTGCATGTGGTTGAAATGGAGTTGTCAGAAGGAAAGAGAGTGGGGGTGGGGGATGGGGGCAGAGTCGAGGAAAAAATTCTATAGAAAGGGGGCAGGTGGCAGGAAGCATGTTTAAATGTTGGTTTAAATGCATTTTAAAGAAGGGTTGATGTTGATCATCAGATTCTCCTGATTCAAGTACAATGAAAATTTGCTTCTCCTGAGCCTGGATTTTCCCTGGTCTCCCCAAATTTACTATGGGGCCCAGCAACATCCTTCACTGAGAGACAGCTTTGGTCTCGAAGGAGACAGGCTGCTTATAGAAACTTCAGGTCTATTTTTCTGGGATGCTGTGAGCTAACTAGAAGTGTGCTCAGAGCTATTTGGCTGACTGATACCCTCTTCCTGTTGAAAATGTAAGAGAATTCTTCCTCAGCAGTTTGGTTCAAGGCAAAATAAAATATGCTCCCGTGGTCACAGTCACACTCCACAAACTCCCCAGAGACTCTTTGATTATCTTAATGGTCCTTCTGTAGACTGGCAGTGAGATCTCAGGGTGCAGTGCAGTCAGTGCCTCTGTGGGGAGCCAGATCAGATCTCTGGAGAGCACTGAGGACTCTACAGCAGGCAATTGAGTCCTGCTGACCCAGCCCAGCACCTTCCATGAGATAAGGCTTAGGGGCCCCAGGATCCCTCAGTACCCTCCCCTTCTCTCACACCCTCCTGTGGGTACCTAGTTTCAGTCTATGGGAAACTTCAACATCATAGCAATTAGGTAGATGAAAGCACAGCATCTATTTCGGTTATTAAGGCTTACCTCCTTCCCAGGCAGCCACCCTTCCAGCTGCCATCGCTGGCCCTGTGCTGGGCTATCTTCAGTCCAAGCTCACATGACCTTGGAAATCTGAAAAGATGACTGACACATTTCCACATTCAGGCCAGACCTGAGGTTTATCTCTGGCCAAATACACGTCAAGTCTTCTGGCAGATGCCACCAATCTCCCCATCTACAAATGCCTTACCCCAGTGATTCTCGCTCCTAGATTCCATTAGAATCACCTGGGGAGTGTTTCAAAGGATAATTACCAACACCCAGGCCCCACCCCAAAGATTCTGATTCGATTGGTATGGAGTGAGGTCCAGCCTGGCAGCCTCATGTTTCACAAGCTCCCCAGGTGATTCTCACGTGCCGCCAAGGTAGACTATCAGGTCCTAATCCAAGTCCTCTGGGTTATTCTCCACAAGGATAGATGACGGCTCCGAGTTAATACCTTACGACGTTGGTCTCACTTATTACTTGTTTATCTGATAAATTCTCAGAGGGGTTACCTAAGTTCAGAATCTAAAGGTCATTAGAGGTTATCTTCAATGTACCAACTAGAATAAACACTGTCTATTGAGCAATTATTTGCTGAATGCCTATTACGGACCAGATACTGTGCTGGGAACTAAGACACGAGCATGTACATCAAACGGTTCCTCCACGTGTTTTGTGCTCCCTTCTGCCCCTTCAGATTTGGAAACCTGGTTTTCTGTTTTAAATTCAATCTCTCTCTCTTTCCCTCTTTTTTTCCCTCTCTCTGCTCCCATCTCCTCTCAACTTTTATATATGATGCACGTACCCAAATACATTTACTTATAAATCTTACAGCTCATGTGCAGCAGTAGCTAATCTCCGACACATTCCTAAGGCTCAGTGTAATTAGAATATGAGAAAGCACCCATCCTGGGTAGGAACACACCTCATGCTATCTTCTTTCATGACTTTTTATCTCCTGATCAAGTTTCTATTATATTTGCCTCAGGACTTAACTACCGTTAAATATTCAAGAAGCCCAAATAAAAAAACTTTTTCTACTCTCTGCTCTGTCCTTTCAGGTGTTTAATTTTGACCCAACTGCCAGGAAAAACACAATCCTGAAACTCCACAACCAGATTTAATCATTCTTGTGTACGCCTGAACCCTTGAGGGAAAGGGAAGAAAATCCTGCCACAGCAAACCAGAGCCTGAAAGACCAAAGATCTAGGACCACAGGAGTGGCCCTAATTCATCATTAGTCACCCCGCCTCTGTGCTACTCTGCCTCCTGCCTGCCCTCCCCGTGGCTCCCTATTTCAATGATGTCTCCGTCTTCCTGCTTGACTGCAGCTGATTACAGTCTGTGACTCATTCATTCCTGTACTCCCATCCTCCAACAGAGACGGTAATAACAGCTCACAGCTGTTGAGCACTTGCTGTATGTGCCAGGCACTGTTCTAGATGCTTTCCACGTGTTATCTCTGAATTTCACTCAACTCTGTGAGTTTAATGCCTTTATTATCCCATTATACAGATGACAAAACTGGAGTACAGAGTTTGAGTAATTTGCTCACATTTACACAAGGCTGATGAAGCAGAATCCTGATTCAAAGCCAGGCCGTCTAGCCATAGATCCTATTCTTTTAGCCACTGCTATATGATGCTGAGACTTAGACAAATAAACATCTGTTTCCAAGGTTTTTATTCGGTAGAAGACAGCTTAGCACCTACTAGCTATGTGACCTTAAAAAAATTGTTAAATGCTCTAAACCTCTTCTAGATCTAAAACTCTTCTAGAAAATAAGAGTAAGAGCAATGATGATTACGTTAGATGATGTCTGTAAAGTGCATGGCACAGTGCCGGGCATTTACTAAATGCTTTACAAAAGTTAGATGCTGCTGCTGCTGCTATTTGGTAGGTGGGTACATTGGGAGCATCCCAAATTACTCCCCAATCGAAGTGGCCACTGCCTCCCTGTATAAGAGCAGTGGGTAGCAGCCATGAAATTTTTTTATAATTTTATTTAGATATAATTCACATACCATAGCATTCACCCATTACAAATGTACAATGAATGTTTTTTAGTATATTCAGAGCTGTACAATCAATTTTAGAACCAATTTAGTATTTAGAAACCAGTTTAGAACCAAACTTGGAATCAATTGTGGGAGATTTTATTATCACCCAAAAAAGAAACCCCATAGCCATTACTCCCCATTTGCCCCAAGCTGTTCTCCCATCCACGCCCCTGGCAATCACTACTCTATTTTCTGTGTGTTCCGAACATTTCATATAAGTGGAACTATACAGTAAGTGGTCTTTGTGAGTGACTTATTTTACTTAGCATGATGGTTTCAAAGTTCATCCAAGCTTAGCATGTGCCAATACTTCATTTCTTGTTATTGCTGAATAATATTCCATGGTATGGATAGCCTTATTTTATTTGGCCTTTTACTCTTTGATGAATATTTGAGTTGTTTCTCCTTTTTGGCTATTATTAATAATTCTGCATGCCTATAATCCCAGTGCCTTGGGAAGCCAAGGCAGGAGGATCACATGAGGCCAAGAATTAGAGACCAGCCTGGGCAACATAGCAACACCCCATCTCCACAAAAAAAATACAAAAATCAGCTGAGCATGGTGGCAGATGTCTGTAGTCCTAGCTACTCACGAGGCTGAGGTGGCAGGATCCTGTGAGCCCAAGAGCTTGAGGCTCCAGTGAGCTATGATTGCATCACTGCACTCCAGCCTGGGCAACAGAGCGAGACCTTGTCTTAAAATAAATAATGCTGCTATGAACATCTGTGTGCGAATCTTTGTGTGGACCTATGTTTTTCTCTTGGGTATATATATGGAAGTAGAATTGCTAGGTCATCTTGTAACTCTGTTTCACCTTTTGAGGAGTTTTCAAATTGTTTTCCAAAGCTAATAGCTACTAATCTTGCACTTTCTTCTGGGTGACCTAGAACAAAAGTCACTTAACCTCACTGAGCCTCAGTTTCCTCATCTGCAAAATGAGGATATTATGTACCAAAGGAGATACTTTCAGTACAGTGCCATCGACTGCCTGACACCAGCGAGTGCTTAAACAAGTAGTAGGTACTCTGTTGCCCCTGGCAGATGGTGCTCTGCCCTTTCCTTCCTGTCCAGTTTGGATCAGAAATGAAAGGACGGTACCACGGAAGGCTTGAGCACAGCCTAATGCAGATGTTAGAGTGCATCACAGTGCAAACTCACACTACCTTTCTGGGCCATGGCACCAGTCTCTAAAATCAAGAAAAAATAAAATAAACTACTCTCAGCTCAGTTGTGTGTATATTCTCTTTCCTTCTATAAACTGGACTTTTGCCCAGAAATCATAAGTAAAGAAAGAATCAATAATCCAAGTTTTATATGCTAATGTAATTTGGTAGAAAATGCACTACATCTATCAGAACTCCATTCTCTTGATTGCAGAGTTTCTTACAGGCCACATCTCCAGAAGGGCTTGCGAAAACAAGAGTCAGCGAAACCGTCATCCCCATGAGCCTAAACAAAGTGTAGAAGTGTGAACCCCCAGTGCCACCCTGCTGAAGGCCCCGATTAGCATTTCTGTTTCTGGCAGAAACCGCTGACAGTCCATCAGTCCCAAATAACAATAATAAAGCTCTGCAAATGGAAAGTGTTCCATTCTTAGGGGAGTTATTATTATTCTGGGTAAAAAATATTCCTTGGGCAGATTCATTTCACTGCAAAAGTTGGTTTCAGAGTTACTTTGTTAAACCTTGGTGGGGGCAGAGGGAGACAAAGAGAACCAGAAAAAGTTGTGCATGCTGTATTTCATATTGTAAGGAATATTTTTCCTTTAGGAACAATAGGTAGGATGCTTGGAGAGACCTGTCCTAGCATATGGGAAAATATAAGAATTTCTATCTTTAGTGCAAAGATAGTAATATGACAGACTTGAAGATTCAAGCCAAGCAAGGCTGCCCTACCACCCTGGCTCAGTTCAGGTCACACGTGAGCATGAAGCCATTGTCCCAGGCCTTCTTCCATAGGCTCCAGCTTCTGCCTCCCTCTGCACTAATGCTAATTATGGGACACAAAAACCTAATCTTTTCCTTTTCTAAAGAATTAATCCAATCTATCAAAGAAGCACAAAAAAAAAAAAAAGGAAGAAAAACTTTCAACTTGGGATTGCAGTGAAAGATTCCAGAGAAAAAATATACACAGAATTTGCTTACTATTAGCCACCAGAAAGTTAAGAAAAAACATGATAATTAAGTGACTAAAAGCCACTTGGGATGTTCTTTATTTGAAAAATCATATAAACTGAGACTCACAGCCTACCCCATTGTCTAAGTACCTCCTCATCACTGAGTAAAGATATATGCCAGATAAAGACACTGGCAGTTCCCAGATATAATAGTACTTGTTTTGAGGCTGAATTCTAGATGAAGCAAATGTGGCATAGAGCTCTTCAGTTACTAAAGTACTAAAATGGCCTCATTATAGAAATCATCCTCTGGGCAGTGGGGAGGAGGCTGCACCCCAGCAAACACTACCAGCAGGGGCAGGAGAGGAGATCTAATCTTAGAACCAGAGAATATGTGCAGTGGCATATGTGCAGTGATATGGTCTGGCTGTGTCCCCACCCAAATCTCATCTTGAATTATAGCTCCCATAATTCCCTTATGTTGTGGGAGGGACCCAGTGGGAGGTAATTGGATCATGGAAGCAGTTCCCCCATACTGTCCTCATGGTAGTAGTGAATAAGGCTCATGAGATCTGATGGTTTTATAAAGGGAAACCCCTTTTGCTTGTCTCTGATTCTCTTCTCTTGTCTGCCGCCATGTGAGATATGCCTTTCGCCTCCTGCCATGATTGTGAGGCCTCCCCAGCCATATGAAACTGTGAATGCATTAAACTGCTTTCTTTCATAAATTGCCCAGTATCGGGTACGTCTTTATCAGGAGCATGAAAACGGACCAATACACCAGGGTATGTGGAGGGATGAAATTTTTTCTGGAATATTCCAGCTCTAAATCAGAAGAAAAAACACTAAAGTCATTCTCTACATCTAAAATGCTTTCTATAGCCTCTGAGGCTTTGTAGCCTCTGCCCTATCCTGGCTTTCTCCAGGCTAGCCTACTCCTCCTTTAGCCTCTGCACAGGCCACCTCCTTAGCCTGCGTTCCCCAGCTCCCAAGGCTGTGTTATGTGACCCTATGTGCTTGTGCTGCTCCCTGTGATCACCACTTAATGGAAATTGTCTGTTTACTCCTTCATCTCTGCTGCTAGACCATAAGCTCCTGGAAGGAAAGGGAAAGGATTTTCCTGTTCTCAGGATTTTCCTGTCCTCAGCACCAGCACAATGTGGGAACCCAGTAACTGTGCTGACTTGGTTTAAGTCTCTAGCTGGATAGGGAAAAAAATGGACCATCTGAAACCAGGAGCAGAAACCCTGAAACAGCACACCAATCAAGGTAAACCAGGTCAAGTAATGGGGCAAGAACGGGGCCTAGAAGAACAGTCCTGGAGAAAAACTTCTCAAGGACAAGATTTTACCCCTCACCAATCAATGACCATTGGCATTTTCTTTTCAAAATCTGTAACTTCTTCTTACTCTATCTTAGAGCGAAGAAGTCTTTTGTCTCCTATATTTTAAAAGTCAAAAGCCTTTTATAATGATAAAGTGTTACATGAGAAGCATAGATCCTGAATACAGATTAACAGAAAAACAGAAACAGACAGACCTGAGTTCAAATCCTGACTTTGCTACCAACTAGGCAAGAGGTCAGTCAGTCACTTAATCTCTTCTGTACCTCAGTTTTCTTATCTGCAAAATGGTGATAATAATATCTGCCATTTTCAGAGTTCTTGTGTGATTAGATAGCAATGTAAGTCATATATCTTTGCACTCTGTGCAGTGATATTTCTTAGTGATAGATGTGTGTGCGACAATGTGTTTCAGTAACATTTAGAGTTATGATTCTCAAATATTTACTAAATTTATTCCTGTTGTGAGGAGAGGGGAAAAATAGGCTTTTTTTTTTTTTTTTTTTTTTCTTGAGATGGAGTCTCTCTGTGTTGCCCAGGCTGGAGTGCAGTGGCACAATCTCAGCTCACCGCAAACTCCACCTCCCGGGTTCGAGCAATTCTCCTGCCTCAGCCTTCTGAGTAACTGGGATTACAGGCGCCCACCACCACGCCCAGCTAATTTTTGTATTTTTAGTAGAGACAGAGTTTCGCCATGTTGGCCAGGCTGGTCTTGAACTCCCGACCTCAAGTGTTCCTCCCGCCTCGGCCTCCCAAAGTGCTGGGATTACAGGCATGAGCCACCATGCCCAGCCAAAATAGGCATTTCTTTAGCTGCTATGCTCCTTCTGTAGAAAGTAAATAAACTAAAATAATAATAATAATACTGTCATCAGATGATGAATAAGGTATTTCCTACTAAGACTGCATCTAGGGTTATTACAAAAAGAAAAAAAGAGACAATAGTAAGTTCTAACAGTGTTGTCCCAGAAGTCACCCAGAGCAGAAAACTCGGACCAATGAAGACCAACAAGCTATTTTTTAGCAGGAAAAAGAAATGAAGGTGAGTTTCCATTTTTTTCCTATGCTTCAATGACTCCCCTTTCCAGAGCTGCCTGTTGCAAAATTCTTTTACTCTCTGACACGGAAAAAAAAATTATGTGTTAAAGGAACAAAATCATCTATTGACAATACACCTCCAACTTCAAACTGCCAGCCACTCAAAAGACTAGATCCTGACAACGGAGGGTTCCCTGTTTAATGGGTAAAGTGGGGTGTTTCGATATGGGTTTGGGGGCAATACATTGCTCTGCATAAGAAAGGAAAAACTATGGAGAGGTACCTTAAGAAAAGATCTCAGCCTAAATTTATCTTAATAAATACATACTGAGCATCTACTCCATATTAGGCATTGACTAGATGGGATTTACATACGTTCCTTCAATGCAAGTCGCAAAGTAGACATCACGGCTGGTTTTTGTTTTAAATGAGAAAGCAGCCTTGGGAAGTGAAATGATTTCCTGAAGGTGAAACGATCATCCGTAGAGGCAATAGTGGAAATTTGTTTATATGAAGTTTATGCTTTTTAGGGTGACAAAGTTTATGTATAAGAGCTGAGCAGAAACGGGGAGGGAATGGGAGAAGGTCGTGGAGTATTCCTGAGAGGGCAAGGCCTTGGAGTTACGAATGAACTGTGTAAGAGCCCAGCCAAGAGAGAGGGGAGACTGCTGGGGAGATAGAGGGCAGGAAGGACGTCTGGGCCTACAACAGAATTTTACCAAAGTGTAATTTGGGTGAGAGAGAAGTGACTGGAATCAGAGGATCTGTGCTTTAATCCCAACTCTGGTACGTGCTGGCTTTAGGCTTCGTTGGAGCGGTCTCCAAATCTCCCTGAGTTCTGCCATTTTCTCACTGCAAAATGGGCAACATGTGCTTCACAGCAAGAATGAATTCATATCCTTGAAAGTGGCTGGAAAACTTCACAGGGACCTCAGGAGCTCCGTCTGCGGCAAAACTTCCCAATTGTTTCTCAACCCCCATCTCCACTTTGTCTGAAGCCCCACCCTCTTTAGAAGACATGATTGATACGGGGTTTGGTGGCCAGGGTCTGATTATTGCATCTCCGTATTTAGGATCCTTTCAAAACCAGACTTGACCATATCTATTTCCTTTCCTAGATAATAGAGACACCAGGTAAAGAGGAGACCAAGCACTCACACTGCAGAACTAATTGTCAAATAACCTTTTTCCTAGCCTTGCTTTTGTGAAGTAATTGTCTCCTTTTGATTGAGCTTCTTTACTCTTAACTGAGAGGGTTGGAACTGATGATCTCTACAGTCTCTTAGAAGACCCCTTGTGAGGCTGTCCCAACAGCCCATTGTTCCAGTACTTTCTATTGCCCTTAGCAGCATTTATCCAACTTTTTTCTGTCAGGTATGTGCTTCTATTCCAGGCATTCTGAGCCAATTCTGCAAATCAAACTTATTGGAAGACTCAAATGTTTTAACAATCTTCAAACATACGACATCAAGCATACCACTTTCCTTTATCTACCAACTTTGTACTTTTACTGCAAAAAAGAAAGGTACTGAGTCCATCTGGCATGATTTGCTTTGAATAAAAGCCCATCTGCTTATTATTTCTAATTTCATTGTCCTCTAGAATGTTTACAGAGCTTCTTTCAATATTTATTGCGCTGTGTTTCTAATTACTGATCCAGACCGTCCACACAGACTCGGGGGGGCACTGGGCTAGGATGTAGGTGTCTTTCTTTTTTTCATCTCCACGATTCTTTACTCTGGAGGCACAATGTGGCCCTCGGCCGTCATTACAGAGCCCTGGTGTGATGCTGCAGAGGCAGATTCTGACAATCAACCTCTTTATCGTGAGTCTCCCTGGGGACTTGCAAAGCTGCCTCTGAAGAATTTTTGCCTGCCTCGACACCATTATTGTCATAGGAAGGATGGAAATAATTACCTGATTTATTATCTTGAGGCTGGCTTCATCGCGGGGCCCTGTGATCACTGGAAACAGAAGGCTCATCTCTGTCTTTGGGAGTCCTGAAGAGATGGTAAAAGATTCACATTTCCTACATGATGGTGTCTCTGAAAGGCAAGGGATGGGATGGTCTCTGCAGCAAAAACAATTCCCATTTAGTCCTTTTCAAAATATGCCCCCAAAATCCAAGATGCTAAAACTGTTTAAAAAATTAAAATCTTTTTCTCCCCAAGTAAGTTCCCATTTCTGATTCCCCCAGTTCTACTAGGATGCTTTATTTTCCTCCTCTTATGGCACTTTTTGTCATTCTTCACAATCAAGTAAGTCTCGTTACTCCCTTTGTAGCATCTTAATGCCTTTCCCATCTGTCCCTGGCTTCCATTCTCACTCCATTGTCTAATTTCAGCCCCATATCACATTGTCTCTATTCCTGCAATACCTCCTATCCTTCAGTCTCTCCCCCACCCCACCCACCATACACATGCCTGCAGAATAATCCACCTAAACCATCTTTATTTCATCACATCCCTCCTCAATAATGCTCCATGAGTGCCCTTTGCCTACAGGATTAGTCTGCAAACCCTCACTGAAGGGAAGGGTCTCCAGGGCTCGGCCTCACAGCCCCACAGGTGGCTGTGCACCCCACCCTGCCCTGAATCCTCCTTCCAGCCCTGCAGGGGGCACTCTGGGCCTTGGACTCTGTTTTTGCTCACAATGACTTCCTAAGCATGTGAAAAAGTTGAAAAAGGAAGAAAGAATCTGAGATGAATTCTTAGCGCAGACACCAAGGGGTTAAAATTTCATTTTACACTGCTTTTTTATGGGGAATGTCACAATCCACCTGATTCTCACACCCTCCTCAGATTCTGGAAAAGTATGCCCACTGTGTAATCCACAAGTCAGGCCCCAGCTCACCCTGAGAAATTCAGAAGGAAGTTCTATTCAAAAAAATAAAATAAAACAGAAAAGCAACAAACATTATATAGGAGGGGCAAAGGGTACAGATTAAAAAGATAGGCTTTGGAGTAAGTAGACTGGATTCCAGAGACTTACTAATGCTGTAACTTGGGCATGCTACTTAGCCTTTCTGATACTGCTTTCTTATCAGTAAAATAGGGCAAATATCCACCTTGCATGGTTGATCTAAGAATTATAGTCAACATATTTAGAGTTTCATCACAGACCCAGGCACTTAGCCTCTCAGTCTTGCTGTATTACTCCACTACCACCTCCAGCCCCAGTAGGTTCCATTTGACTCCAAGGGTTCTCACAGGGTTGGTCCACTCTCTGCTGACTAGCAGGGTTACTCTACCAGCCTTCTGCAATACTGTTCCGACTTCTAACCTGGGCTAGAGAGTGCAAAGGGAGCCTGCTGTCTGGTCAGTGACTACAGTGATTACAGCTCTTCCTCCAAGGATCACAGGTCTGCAGGTGTTCCCCATGGCTGCCCCAGTACTCAGAGACCCCCAGGTGTGGGGCTTCACTTCTCCTCAAAGAGTAACACCTCCTTACCATTCTTAGTGACCAGGTGCCGTCTTAAGGTCCCAGAGATTGAGAAGCACTGACTCAGGACCATGTCAGTACATGAGAGGCAGGAAAGAATGATGGTTATGGCAGTTTAATCTTAACCTGGGCTCTTGAGTCAGACTGCCTGGAATTGTTCTTCCCTTTGCCATTTCTTATCTGGGTGATCTTGTGCACACTGCTTACCTTCTCTGTGTCTTGGTTTCCTCATCTATAATATGAAGACAATAACAGTACCTGCCCCTCATGGGGTTTTTGCGAAGATCAAATGGGTTAATGCACACAAAACACTTAGAATACTGCTTGGCACATAGTAGGTACTCAGTAAGTGTTCGCTGTCATCATTAATGAGTCAAGTCCTCAGTTATTTAGGTCCCAGGCACATTACAATCAGAATGATTGATTGAGACCGCTCTCTGCCCAGGGACTGTTTCAACACCCTGCTTGTTGTTACCACCACTGTGTGCACTTGTACACACATACACACACACACACACACACACACACACACGACCCTCAGCAGTACCTCACGTCAAGAGAAGAATCATTTCCAGGAGGTTTCAACAGCACCAATGCTCACCACCTCTTAATGAAACAAAGTCCTCAGCAGTATCCTAGACATGCTTTTCTCAGGGAATTGCCTTCAATTCTCTCTACTGAGCAGGGGGGAGATCAGAGGGCCAGTAGAATCTTTTGGTCTAATCCTCTGTTGAGAGACCATTAAAAATGTGTCTTTGGGTCTAAAATGTCTGAAATATCCATGCTAACACAAATCACCAGATATTTCTCAACCTTATGGCCTCTCTCATTCATAAAGTTTACAAGTTTTAATACAACCTTTCAGGAAACATTTATTGAGCATCAGTTTTATGTCAGGCACTGTTCTGGTGGCTGCAGGTGTAAGGATGAATCAGAGACAGGCTTTGGTTTCTAGGTCACAGTCAAGAGGGATAAACAGGCAGGTGGACAGATCACTTCAATGCAGTGTGATGAGGCTAAGTCAGAGAAATGCAAAGGAAGCTTGTAGAGAACAGAGAAGGGGCATCCATCCCAGATGGGTAGATCAGGAAAGGTTGCCAGGAAGTGGTGACCTCAGAGATAGGTCTTAAAGGATGGGTAGTCATTCACAAAGGAATAGCATTGAAAAGCATACAGGCATGAAAAAATACAACATGATTTTGGAGTGATGGTCATTTGGCAGCACTAGAGGGAACAGAGTAAGGAGGGATGGGAATGAGAATGGAAAGATAAGCAGGTACCAGACCTTGAAAGGACTTCACGCTTCTCCAAGTCTTTTTTATCTTACCATGGGATGAAAGGAGAAACAAAGAAGTGTTCTAAGCAAGGAAGTAACATGATAAAATTTGCGTTTCGGTAGAAGAGGGTTTTCCGGTGGAGGGGAGAACTGTCCGGAAGCAGAGATCATTTGGTGATAAACCTGGATTTGTAACAATCCAAGTAAGAGATGGTAAGAACCTACACTAAGATTAAACTAAGAACTTAAACTAAGTAGGATTAAAAGAAATGAAGACATTTCAGAACTATTTATGAGGTTAGATCATCAGAATGTGGAGACTAGTTAGGGAAAGGAGACAGAGATGAATGAATCCCAGATTTCCACCACGAATAGAAAGTCAAGCTTCAATTTACGACTTAGAAATCCTAACAGTATTTAGATTTATACATTTTCTGTGTAATATTTTAGGTGTTTTTTTCATTTTAAGACAATACTAACTAGAATTTTAATCATACCAACTGGACAACAAAGAAAGACCCTGAAATCTCTGATGGACAAATTTTTTAAGCAGCAACAGATCTTGAATTCAATTAAGAATCTACTACAGCCAGGCGCAGTGGCTCACGCCTGTAATCCCAGCACTTTGGGAGCCTGAGGTGGGTGGATCACAAGGTCAGGAGATCGAGACCATCCTGGCTAACATGGTGAAACCCCGTCTTTACTAAAAACATACAAAAAATTAGCCAGGCGTGGTGGTGGGCGCCTGTAGTCCCAGCTACTTGGGAGGCTGAGGCAGGAGAATGGCATGAACCAGGAACTTGCAGTAAGCTGAGATCATGCCACAGCACTCCAGCCTGGGCGACAGAGCAAGACTCAGTCTCAAAAAAAAGAAGAAAAAAAAAAAGAATCTACTACTGCATTCAGTCTCCTTGCATTGACAGCTCATGCAAAGAAGACTAGGTGGAAGGAATAGAGAAACAGACAGAAACAAAGACTTTTCGGTACAGAACAACTAGGTACAGAATGTGGACTGCTGCTCTAGGAGTACCCCCAAGTGCCAGCATCAGAACAACAAAGACTATGCCTTGGAATTGACCTCATTTGAAACTCTTTATAGTCTTCAATTATAAATAATTCAACATTGTCTTCATTTCCAATGTTTGTCATTCTAGATCGTTGGAGGTTCTTTTGTTAGTCATCATTAACTGGAACCAGAAGTCTATAGAAGAAAATGGAAGATGGGGGGGTCAGAAATGAGTTTTGGTGGGAAGATAAATGTTAGGCCTAGGAATGTAGTCTGCATTCGTAAGCAATGGGGAATCATTGAAGGCTTTTGAGCAGAGCCATATAAGATGAAAACAAATGTTCAAGAAGAATCTAACAACCTTGTACAAAATGAATCAATTTGGCTAAAATCTACTCAATACTAAAGTATTGCAGTCATTCTAATTAGACTTTGCGCTTTCCCCTATTGTTGCATCATCATACTCACTTACTCTAAATCCCTGGCAAATTGTTTGCTAAAGGCTTCTAGCTTTCTGTCTCAGTGATTTTCAACCAGAGGAGGCACAGGGTTTGGAAATGAGTTAGCATTTCTTATTGGGGTTCTAGCTGTTTTCACAAGTTGGGGAAGAGTGGGTACTGGCATTTAGTCCCACAGGGGCCAGTGATGACAAATAGTCTCAACACACTGGGCAGTCCTGTACAACAAAGGCTCATCCGGCCCAAAATGCCAGCAGTGCCCCTGTTAGGAAACATGGCATCTGATCTCTTTTGCTGCCCCATCTCTGTCTTCTATAAATTTTCTTCTTCTATTTATCACCAGGCATCCCGCCAGTCACCTGATTAGCAGGTTAAATGGTCATTCAACTGTCATCAAACTCCTTCTCCCTTTCAGAAGCAACTGGAAGAAAGCCAGCATTCATTATTGACCCAGTTCCATAGCACTTAAGATTTCCATAGTGCTTTGCAATGGTTTCTATTAACTAATTCTCATGTCAACATATGAATTGAGTTAGTTTTGTTATTAGTGGTTTGCAAGCAGAGAGACTCAAGTACGGAAGATTTGGCAACTTGTTCATGTCTCTTACATTTAATTCATGGAGTCACATTTTGGGAAGCTATTTTCAAACTCACAATAATTCTTTCAAATCTCTAGAAAATTCACTTAGTAGGGTACTATTTGTGACTGAATTTCAATATAAACATTGCTTACTTTTGGAATTTAAATACTTTGGTGGCCTACTTATGAAAAGAGAATCTCCTTCTCCCCTGGTTTTCATTATATTATTGAAGATATATATATTCATATTTTCAAAAATCTTTTAAAAGAACTGAATGTTTTAT